CACAGTCCAGCCAGTCATCCATGATATGTGTGTGGATGGTGGTGCAGTTCGATTCTTCTCTCCTAGTGCTTCAATGTGAAAAAATAAATGTTCGCTTTTCCTTCACATCTCTGGCCATTTCTCCCACTCCTACCAGAATGTGCACTAAGAGTAAAATGAGCTTATGTATGTATAATTAACTAGAAAAATTACATGGTACATGGCAAGGTTAAATACAAATAACTCCAAACTTAATGAATTTTCTAGGCAGCAGCTTTCCTCCTTTATCATGATCAGTGAAGAAAAAACAAACTATATGGTAGGTCCATGTTTTCTTAAATTTTCTACCAGACTCTTGCCTTCCTACAGTGAATGAACTGTTCTTCACTAAGATTTTTTTTATGAGAAATGTTTTAATATGAACGGTATTGCATAGAATTAGGCTGATGGTTTGATGTTCAATAGGTTAGATGCTCTCATTGTTAATTTCCATATTGACAGATTCTAGCTGGAGCTAAAATTAGATAAAGAATACCTCGATCTCGGCTGGGCGCAGTGGCTCATGCCTGTAATCCTAGCACTCTGGGAGGCCGAGTCGGGCGGATTGTTTGAGCTCAGGAGTTTGAAACCAGCCTGAGCAAGAGCGAGACCCCGTCTCTACTAAAATTAGAAAGAAATTAATCGGACAACTAAAAATATACAGAAAAAATTAGCCGGGCATGGTGGCGCATGCCTGTAGTCCCAGCTACTCGGGAGGCTGAGGCAGAAGGATCGCTTGAGCCCAGGAGTTTGAGGTTGCTGTGAGCTAGGCTGACACCATGGCACTCTAGCCCGGGCAACACAGTGAGACTCCGTCTCAAAAAAAAAAAAAAAAGAATACCTTGATCTCATTTTGCCATGTGGGAACAAAAAATCCTTCCTTGGCTCATGTGGAAAGAGATTTGGAGTATAAAAGTTGGTGGATTTGTATGTATTTATAGAATAAATAGAATATATGTTATAATTAATAAGGGATTTAATTAATTACATATTAATAAGGGTTTTTAAAATATTTTTCTCACATGATATTTAATTTTAATTACCCTTCACATGATTAGTTTACAAGCAGGCACAGTTAGGTCCTCAACTGCAGAAACTGCAGGCATCTGAAGGCCAGGACTTTAATTTGGCCACCATCTTAAGATTTCTCTACTCCTTCCTTTGCTCCTCCCCGTACTCCACAGTTTGAATCGATGCTGTTCCATATAGGGTACTTTGCCACCTACCTCATCTCTGACTGCAGTGCTGTATTTTTCACACAGTAAAGATAGGTGCTGTGTTAATCTTACCATGCCAACAATCAAGGCACCACCTAGCAGAGTCAATGAAGGCCAAAATAAACAGTGGAAGATAACCATTTGGTCATACTTTTTTACAAGAATAACATTTTCAGATTGGCTGTCTGGACTGTAGAAGCATGAAAAGGGGGTTCCATTTTTGTGATCGAAGAATTCCTTTATGTCCAGAGCATTGTTGAGCAAATCATTCCTATTTCGGTGGCACTTGGGTGTGTAAAAGCACTAGGAATATAGAGGAGGAAAAAAAGGTACTGTCACCAATACCAAGCACTTAACAGTTCTGATTCTGAAACAGCTTCAGGCTGAAGCTTCCAGAGGGAAATTTCAATCTTAGAAAATGGTAAAATATTACATAGCAGGAGGGCCAGAGTGAAATGGCCATTTGCAAGCACTAAGAAAGGATATGGGAAGGAATTCTTAGACTATATAACATTGCAGGAAAGGCAGTGACCGACTTCATAAGGACTATGACTCCTCCCCACATGCAGGTCCTTGTTCTCTTTCTGGACAGTAACCCAACAAATCCATTTGTCCATTCAACAAAAACGTATTGAGCCCTACTAAGGCTTTCAACACTTAGTAGTGCCTCTGTTGTCTTTGTCTTGATCTCCTGTCACCAAATCTTTCCCTAAAGGGTAGCACATTGAGGCTTTTGCTCTAGGCCCACAGTGAGGGAGACCCACCTGGGCTTTGGTTCCTGGGAAGCAGAACCAGTGGAGAAGAAGGGATCCCTATCAGCTACTGACTTTTTCAAAAAAACTTGAGGTTTATTAACATATCCATTAGACATTTGAGGTACTGTGCTAAGGGCCTATAAAATGTTTGAAACCTCAAAAATTATTGCATCCGAAATAGAAAACGGATATCTTCAAATTGAAATTAGTGCTCAATTAAAGACACAAAGTGTAACAATATGTCAACTAGCAACTTTTATATGTAGGTGTGAATATAAACTTTAAATATGACCCAGTTACATAACTTACTAAAATAAAAATTGTAATAAACCTTTAAATTTCTTTGATTAAAAAAATTGCTTGATTTATAGTAGACTGTGAGTACATTTTAGCACTTTTCAATGATGGGGAGTGGGATCTCCGAAAGCAAGAGTGCCTGCAAATGACTGCACGTTGGCTCAACCTGGGAATTCCAGACACCAAGTTGTAAAACTGGAATAATCCCTCTTCTTTCTGTGTATGCCATTTACCTCCAAGAATGCTTTTAGCTTCATTTAGCCTGACTTGATCACTATAAAATTGTTCACTAGAAGCAAATAGATTTATCCCTAGAGACAGCCCTGGGTTTTGTGCCCTGCTAGGGACAGTCTGGCATGGAAGGGCTGTTGCAGTAAGAACTCTTTAATTACATGAACTTTCCATTACCTTGGAATTTATCTGGACAGCCTCTTCATTGTAATGTAGGAGAGCTTTCTGACCTGAATGGGCGAGGTTCACAAACACCTGAAGACACGGGAATGTCCCCTGACCGCGGCAGTCCACACCACAGGTGAAAGCACAGTCCAGCCAGTCATCCATGATATGTGTGTGGATGGTGGTGCAGTTCGATTCTTCTCTCCTTGTGCTTCAATGTGAAAAAATAAATGTTCTTCACCCACTAGAAGATTCAGTTCTACATTTCTAATATGGTAGCCAGAGGCATTTGTGTATTTCAATGCAACGTAGGGCCATTTCAGAGGGCACATAATGATCAGGGAGCATGGAGGACACGGAGACGGGGTAAACGGCAACATGTTGCCAAGTTTCATCTCACTTCTGATCCTACTGGCGTATTTCTCACTATACCAACCCTTAGAGCAATGGTTTTCAAACTTCAGAATCACCTGAATGAGTTTGTTAGAATGAAGAATTTGTTAAAGTGTGGATTTTAGGGTTTCACTGCTAGATACTCCGTTTCAGTAGGACTGAGTTGAGGCCCAGGAATCTGTATATTTAACAGTATTTAAGATGCAGGTATTTGGAGAACCATACTTTAAGCAATGTACTGTAACCACCAAGATTCACACTCACTTAGGAATATCCTCTCTCCTGCCTGCCTCATTATCTCAAGATGCACCCACTGCCTTGTCCTGATGAAAATGTGCCTTTGGAAGGAGTCCAACTACAGGGCCCTTAGTCAACATAGCCTACAGAAGATCTGGTAACAAGGTACAATTCCATATGCCCACTCTACTTTCAAAGAGGCAAGTACAAACCATACAAGGAAACTATCATTAGAATACTTGCCATACAAGGAAACTCTCATTAGAATACTTGCCATGTTTTTGCTATCAGTGAGTTCCTCGACGTCAGGAGCTACAGCCTATTCATCTTTATGTTCCTCAAGGCATGAAGCAGAATGCCTCTCACATAGTAGATTCTCAATAAATGTGCTGAAGTAAATTTTACTTGGAAAACATTCCTTCAGAATTTGCACATGTGCTACATACACAGAATGTCCTCAGTGCTGTGAGAAGTGGCAGACAAAATTCCTGCCATGAAGATCTTGTGGTGGTTGAGGAGAAAGGATATACGTGTATGTATGAAATAATTAGAGAAAAAGTCCAAGATAAAGTAAATGAGGGTGGGAAGAAATGCCTCGATTGAATGTATGCGACCAGCTCCTCATGTACCCTCACACTCACATCTAGGTGGGTCCCTGTGTTTATTTACTGGTGCCTTAAACACAGAAAGTTAGATTAGCAAGCTCTAAAGTCAGAATGTTTGAAAAGCAGGGCTTCTTAACTTCCACCTTTTATGGAACAAAACTACTCTCTGAGATGGCACAAGACCGTAAGGCAAGAGAGCCATGACAATGTACCACTCTTAAGCATTCACTTAATTACTTGGACTCAACAATTTCCAGAAATGCTTAGAAAAGTAAAACTTAAATATGAGCAACACTTTTTTGCCAGCTTGAAAAAGGTATCTTCATATAACTCTTTTGATGGGGATATTTGCTAAAAAGAAAAGAAAAAGGAAAAAAAAAATAAGAAAAGAAAAAAGAAGGTATCTTCAAAACAGCTCCCAAATCTAGAGTGGGTACAGTAGCTCGCGCCTGTACCAGCGCTTTGGGAGGCCAAGGCTGGAGAATCAACTTGAGGCGAGAAGTTTGAGACCAGCCTGAGCAACATAGCAAGACCACTGTCCCTACAAAAAAATAGAAAAATTAGCTGGGCATGATGGCATGCACCTGTAGTCCCATCTACTCAGGAAGCTGAGGTAGGAGGATCAAGTAAGCCCAGGAATTTGAGGTTGCAGTGAGCTATGATGATGCCACTGCACTCCAACCAGAGACCCTGATCAAAAAAAAAAAAAGAAAAATCTTCCAAATATATCACATTTCAACAAATAGTATGATCTGCCTGAGCACACATGTGTGCACACAAATATTTACTCAACTTATATAGATATATGTAATGCAGCTATATTTTTTTAAAAAAAAAATAGATAAGGAAAATGGAGTAACAGGAAAAGAAGGAGAGAAAGCTAGAGTGAAGTCAGGAGTGCATACAAACATGTAACCTGATGACCAAACGATCCCTTATAGTTATGAGAACCAAGATACAAATGTGCCTCTGAGCTTCCTAGCAGCCAGAGCAATGAACACAACCAGATACACGATTCCTGTTGTCCACTGAATAAAAGTAAGCTGGTTGATCAGGAGCAGCACAGTTTCTCCTGGTGCTAATATTAAAGAGAAGATTCTTCTGGAATCCTTGTAATAGCGGGACAGTGGTGCTGTAGTGGATGGTGACCTCTACATTTTTGCCCTAACAATGGTAACCCAGGAATGGCAGGAGATGACTCTGATAAATAAGCAACATAGGCCACCCATGTCCTTTTCTATGACCCCTTTCCCTCAGTGAATTCCTAGGCCACCTTCTTCCCAACCACCCCCAATGCCCCCTCCCC